GCTGAGCGCCTGCTGTCTTTGATACGCAACCCCGTTACAAAAGCAAGCAGTCCGGCGTTGGTTGCCTCCGTGCTTTGTAGCCTCGGAAGCTCGGAGGGCTCGCCGTAGCTCCATCGTTGGCGTCAACGGACTCTGCCTTCACGCGGCTTCCAGCACGAGTCAAAGCCAATGTGGTTGGAGGTGGACTTCGACCTGTGTGCCGGACATTTTTTATTTCGCGCGGAAATATTCATCGAAGAGGCGAAATTGTGGGAAGTCTTTACCTCGTTCATTTCAGTCGAGTGCAAAGCATTGTGAGACGTTCTAATGGCGTTATTTTAAAACGAACAACACCAGCGCGGATGCTTGTTAAGTGACCATTTACACTTGAACATTTGTCCGTGGCGTCGTATACTGATTTGGTGCCTGCAGTCAGGTGTATACACGCGTGTTTGTGTGTTTACAGGTGAGAAGAAGACACGAGACGAAGGCGGAAACAGAAAAGCGCCCTCTAGTCGTTTTCATTCGCATCAATTTCCATCGGGCTTCTTCAGGAGCTGGTATTTTGGGTCGGATTCTGTGAAAGGTGTTGGACTGTTAGATAGCGCATGGACAGAGGCGCTGGTTCGATTCTCCTTCAGCCAGAACATTGCCTTCATACCGCATCGCCTGTCTTGGGCCGGCTTAAGCCACTCATGACTCACCGTTCTTTGAGTTTCCTTGCGTTTTAACCCCTGTCGGATGCTGACGTAACTTCGTCATTTGACGTGTGAAGTAATTAGGAGTGTCAGGCTTAATGCGCTCTTGCACTCATCTCGCAAGTGAGCGGGGCGTAATTAGAAGTGCGCGTGTGTTAACAGAATCGGTGGCAAATAGACCGCCTTGATTGCGAGGCATTCTGTAATTAGCAGAGCTACCGAAGCCTCGACACAGAACTGTTTTGAAACAAAATGGCTGTTTCAGTAGGACGCGAGGTTAACCCATCAGAGGTCTCCATTGTCCAACAATACAAAGTACTCGGCCTGGTTCTTGGTAACGTCGGTCGATTGACGGGTTCCGTAATGAAGGGAAGTTCGACGAGTGGTTTGTCCGTCTGTCCATCAGCAGATTTGTTGCTCTCCATGGATGGGTTGTGATAAAATTGCATTCATGGGAGTTAATGCAGTTGGCCGTCTCTTGATCGCCGAACGTCATCAGCGGCTGCTTCGTTGGCGATGAAGTCCGAAAGAGCGTGACGAGCTATTCCTTTCTTTCAATGGAACGCTCTTGCAGATCCGTCTAAGGCACAATTCCATTCTTCAGCTGAGAGCCAGGGCGTGTGAATTAGAGGTGTAAAAGTAAAGTCAGGACTAGATTATTTCATTGTTGAACTGGTGACCGTGGAGCCATGCTGCGCAACAAACACTCGCGTTCCGTGTCCGTGTACTCGTGTCGTCACAACGGAGTCAGTCATGGCCTGAATAGGAAGTTCGGCATGCGGCCTCATTGTCGCCAGCATCGCCGGTCCTCTGTGTCTCACAAGCTGTTCTACCAGGCCATGAGCAAGGTGACTCTTCTCAGTTTGCATTCCGTGACCACCGATGACTCAACCCCCCTTGTTTTCTTATCATTATGACAAAGATATCTCTGTCTTCAGGTGGGAAATGCCCCGGAAACACAGTTATCCCGTTCATTTTATAAAGAAATTCCACTCCTTGGTGTTTCTGTAAATCGTAGAAAAATGTGGCACAGTTGCAGTGATGGATTTTAACTTAGCCGTTATCGAAAAAGTGCGATTAGAATCTGCCCTTACTGTTCGGAAGTGATTTTCGTGATGTATTTATGTGGCGATTTATTCCGTTCAACAAAGTTCGACCGTGTGGTCCCAGTGGGCTCGATGAACCTGTTTCGTGGGCTAAACCAGGCGTTTCGACACAATTCTTGAATTTCCCCGGAGGGATGAAATAAAAAAGGAAAAGGAGCCGGAAAACTTGAGGACTCCAGGCGGAGTGACCCGGATTCTTTGCCCTTGGGTCACCATTTCCGTAGAAATAGGAAGTTGTTATTTTTTCCTGTGATGTCGGACTTATGGGACACTCTGTATATGCAGACTGCGTTATGTTAATTGCGGTATTTGCCCCTTCCTTCACAACTGACAAGGAATAAACGTGGTGCACTGAGACAAAGTGAGACCTTGGTACTTATTCCGAGCCCACGTGCGCGGGCTATGCTTTTTCCTGGTGCCTAGCAACGGTTTGAGACAAACGCCGATGACGTACGACGCGAGGGCGAATCTTCCTGCTCTTACTTTCTCATAATTGATTTTACTTTCGGCTGTTCTGGCAATAACAAGAAGATGGCGGTCTCGCTTCATCTCGTGTGTGAACGTTTTAAATTAATTTGAAGCGACGATTTCTGCTGGTTAGGTTGCAATTGTCAACAGACGCTCCAGCAAAACCTGCTATCTGCGGAGGTAAACGGCCATAAAATTTTTTTACTGACGTTTTTGTGAGGCAGAATAATATTAAAGTGAATTTTGTTTAATCAGGTGCTGTCACTGGGTGCCGACGTCTTGCCGGAGTACAGGCTTCAGTCCCCGCGCATCCACAAATGGACCATTCTGCACTACAGCCCCTTCAAGGCGGTCTGGGACTGGGTCATCCTGCTGCTGGTTATGTACACCGCCATATTCACGCCCTACGTAGCAGCGTTCCTGCTCAACGAGCCGGATTTCAGCAACAGAAAGACCAAGAAGTACGGCGACGATCCCATCGTCATCATAGACCTCATAGGTACGCCGTCCACCGCCCGTGCTTTTCCCACTGATGAGTCAGAACACCGAATCGCGCAAATTGCCTCAACCCTTTGAAGCCGAAGCTCGTCTAAATGTTATTTAAGATTTCGGTCCGTACCGCGAAGAAAACACTACACTTCACCATTACAAAGATCAATTGGTTGACGCCGTTTAAGGAAGTAATCGCTGTTTATTACGAGAATCATACGAAAAATATAATTGTTAAGGCAGGTGGTAAGTATTGTTACCACTAGATTTTAGATGGTTCATATTTTATGCTCTCTTCAGGAGCGTCTCTTCATGGACCGCATCAGTTATCTGCTGTCGAGTGGATGATGATTTGACAGGGGTGTGTAAAAGCGCGCTTTTCTTCTGTTGTGTTTGTTTGATAAATGGCCTTTTCCTCGTTGCATCGGTTTTGAAACGTCGATTGAGAAATAGCGTGGCGTTTGAATCCCGAGCCCGCATTTCGTCGCTCAGTTCACTGTGCTCTTTGCTTTCCAGTGGACGTGACGTTCATCGTTGACATCCTCATAAACTTCCGCACGACGTACGTGAACAGCAACGACGAGGTCGTGTCGCACCCTGGCAAGATCGCGGTGCACTACCTCCGAGGCTGGTTCCTCATTGATCTGGTCGCCGCCATTCCATTCGATCTGCTGCTCTTTGGTTCTGACACCGACGAGGTAAGACACGAAAATCCGAGCATTTGGTAGGATTTTTTTTTTTCCTGATGTTAAATACCAGAAGCAGTATTTCCGGTGAAAGCATTTATAATCAACTATTGACCCCTGGTATCGCAGTGATAACAACGTCCACCACCTGATATGACGTTAACTAAACTGATATTTTGAACGCACGCATGCGTAATTCATGTGCCAGAACTAACCATATACTGACAGCCTTATGCTGCGCCATGAAGTCAGTCATTTTTGAGCAGAAACAATTCATCTACTCCTGATATAATGACAAATGTCCCTCACGCTTGACTGGACGACTGCGCTGTTCACGCAATGCGTGAGATCTGGCGGAGTCTGCGTTTGGTGGGAATGAGGAGTTTTCTTTTTGTCCTGGTGCGTCTTGGCTGGAATCTGGTTTTAAAATTCAAGTTGCAAAGAAAATTCTGCAATAAATTGTATTACTCTTCAAACAAAAATGTTTCATTGCCGTAAAGTTTGATGGGTCACGCATTGCGCCAGTTAGAATCTTAATCTTCTATTTCCATTATTAGACATGATGAAGAACTAGTATCTGTTTCCTTGGGAAGGGAAATTGAAAGGTGGCTCCAGTTTTGGACATCCTTTCTCCACTTTCTAACTTCTTGCGTCCTTCCTGTGATGATAACGCGGAAGAAAAGATTGCATCTTGAAGATAAAGAAGGCTGTGAGGCAGAGATAGTTCATTGCAGTTTATATCTAGCGCTTGGTTTGGTTAGTTCTGACAGTTTGTCAGAAAGTTCTCCGTGAAAGTTGATCAAAATTTATTATAGTAATTTGTGTCTTTGAAAAGCATCTCATCAGCCAAGAAAATGAATATGGAGCAGTATCTGTTTCAGAATGCATGTCGTGTACATGAACACACCCGCGCATTTGAGATTTAACTTTGTTGTCGTGTAAGATGTTGCTTCGTAGCTTGAGAAACTGATTTTCTTATGATGTCACAGTTAGACCATGTTTCAGAACTATTGCAGTCATTGTGTGTGTGGTATAATTTGTATAATGTGTTACAAGCCATAACATTTGTTCCTTATCTTGTCCATGAGCTTATTTTCAATTGTTCTTTGTGAACCACTGACGTCCTGCAGTCTTATCAGTCTGTCGCTACCAAGTTGGTGCTCACTACTGAAGTCAGAAATTTTGTGTATCAGACATAATTTGATTTGGGTTGTGTTTGAAATGTTGTTGAAAATGTGGATTGTTTGGTTTTGTTAAGTTGTTTTCTTGTCCCATTAGATACCTTTGAGTCTTAATCAGAACAGACCGAAACTGATAAACTGCTGAAGTTGATCAAAATTTATGTTTTGTTTGAACAAGTATTGTATGTTCAATTAGAATAATCCTATGGTGGATATGGAACTTTCAGAATCATTTACTACCCCAAGTCCAACTGCCTAATCATAACAAGTCAGTTCTGCTCTTGGTACACAATCGTACCACTAAATCATTTACTTTTATTTACCAGTACATAATCTCATAGGCAACTTTGAAAGATTTTAATCTCAAGTCTTATAATTGTTTCAGAAATAATTGTTTAGCACCAACTTGGCATAAATGTGCCTTCATTGCTGTGGTGTGTTCTATTGTTGTTGTACTTCATTAATAAAACAGGAGTTAGGTTAGATTTCTGTTAGCCTTGCATGGTGTTATATCGTGGAGTTACTGCATCATTAAGCATTAGAAAGAAAAAAAGAGCATCAGTAACTGTGATTTGATTTAATTATTAGAAATAGTTACTTTCTTTTCTGAGTAGCTTTATGTGTGAATGTTGTTGTTTTACATTTTTACAGTTGGGCTTGGATGCTGATGAGGTTAGTTTTATACAAAACCATTTTGTTGAACTTTTTACATGGATGATGCAATTATTCATATTTTAAGCATTTGTTTGTGTTGATTCTGTAGCTTCACATGTGAATTGTTGTGTTCCATTAATGTTGTCATTATGCAGGTTAAGTGTTTGATTTTATTTCACATTTTTCTATGTTCCTTATCAGATAGTAGCTTTGTGTTTGGTGGCTGTACTGCTGTTTGTGCTGGTCTACATTTATGAATTACAAATGTTGCCATTCTTACTGTTAGCTCACCTCTCTCTCTTATAATAAGGCCAATACAAAATTAATATAAATCCTTGTCAGTTAACTGGAGCCATTCGTAGGTAAGATTGTTCAAAATGCTTTTTTTAATCATGACTGCATTTGATTCCAATGCTCACAATTCGTGTTACAGTGTATGTAATGGCTGCTATAACACAAGGGGAAGTCTTTCTCATTTTGATGAAAACTTGCTGTTATTCTCCATCACTGACTCCCATCACAGAGTGTATTGTCAGACATCTTCCTTTAGGGCCATTAAGTTGTAAGATTACAGGCCAATTAGACACAAGAATATGTGATGAAGATTTCATAAATAGTCACCATACCATTGTAGTGTTAGGTTTTCAGCACTTAACCAAACATAACCTAACATAACCTGTTGCTCACAGTTGCCACCCTTACACCCCTTCCTTCAGGTATGGAAGAGAGGATTTGGAATAAATTACAGACTTGTTCTGTCCATCAGATGGTATGGCATAAATGTTTTAGGACAGTAAGTATTATTAATAAACGTAATGTTTATTGTTATTTTATGTAGTCCCACATTTGTTCTGATTCTTATTGTACAGAACAGCGGTAACTTTGGCAACAATGCATAAATAGTCCACTGGACAAGGGAGCACAGCATCTGGACAGCCACATACCCTTTTTTCTGAGCTTGTTACAATTTGTTACTAGTGGGAGGCGTGTAGCACATTGTCACCATGACTTGGCACAGCCTGCTCCCAAAATGTTTTCTACAATGAGCTATTAATTTCTCACAAGGTACACATTATCCTAAATAACTAATTTGAAACTCACAAATAGATCTTAACAGAACTTTAAGATATGTTTTGTTTACCTGATAAATTATTAAAGAAATTTCTTTTAATGCAGTCTGTGATGTATTGTGGATTGAATGGATTTCACCTGTCTTCATGCACAATGAATTGGCATGTTATATAACAAATAGAATTATATTAATCTGTGAAATGGACCAGATCAGTTTTATTCTCTCGAGTTTGAATTATAAATATTTATAAAATGAGTATCTGCTTATTCTTTTTCAGAAACAAGGGAATAAAAAAAAAATGAACGTCTCTTATGAATAAATTGCTGTATAGTGTTTATTTGTGTTACTGTTCTAGTGTGTGTGTACAAACTGAATTCAGATATGGAAAATGTTTGTATCTAACAAATATAAATTCCGAGTATTTCAAGATGTTTGAAGTCTAATCTCAGTGTGTGTTGAGATGTGATTTTGTAATCATAAATTTACATATGGAATTGTTTGCTTTTTATGTATAATGTGGTCATAGTTTAATGCACTGTTTGTATGTGCTCAAAATTGAAGACATGTGAATTATACCCGTTCTTGTCTGAGGCTTGTATCAATGTTGGAGGCTCACAAGATGACAAGCAGTAGGAGGTAATGATTAGAGACAGGAAATGTTGCTATTTGGTACTGATGTTACTTGATGGAATGAAGTAAAGTTCCAGTCATTAATTATGGGGTGTTTAACTTTGGCTCCATACAGAAATCATTGTGATTTTTCGTATTTAAAGCAATGTATATTTGTTAAGAATATTTGTTTGTGTCAGGATATTAAAATTGGTTAAAATTCTGTTTTTGGAAATTTTAGTGGACTAAGAAAAGAGACCCAAAACAAAAATTTGTCGATGAGTATGCAAAGAACCTCTGAATAGCAATTACATTTAACTTTATCCTCAAAATTTGCATGTGCCCCCCCCCCTCCCCATTTGCAACAGTATCTTTTGGGACGTGTGTTGCGAGAGAGTGCATTTTGTGTGAAATGTTGACAGACAACTACACTTATTGGCCTCCTGAAGACTGCTCGTCTTCTGCGGTTGGTGCGGGTTGCCCGGAAGATTGATCGTTACTCTGAGTATGGTGCTGCTGTGCTCCTGCTGCTCATGGCGACGTTTGCTCTCATCGCACATTGGCTGGCATGCATCTGGTGAGTCTTGAACATGAAAACAAAATAAACTTTTTTCTAATTATGAAAATCTATGCAGATTTATCATGCCCTTCGGACCACATGATGTGATGCAGTTAATTCCGACAGGAACATGCCGAGCGGCAGCCACTGGAGATCTCGATTTTCGTTGGTAAACGAGGACTGAGTTTTTTGTGGTTATAAATTTATTTATTTGTCATTTGTTTCATGGCGCTGTCAGTAGCTCAGATTGCATTAAAGTGAATGATAGGAAGATTGATAAATAATTAATTTGAATGGATGTGGAAGAAAGTGATCATGGCATAATTTAAGCTATTGTAGCATTTTGTGGGGGGACTGAATGAACGCAGCTAAGACACACGAAGTACATATACTAACCACTTGACTGCTACGTTCTGTAAGACTGTGAAAATGTTCACTGCGGTCGTCTGGGCTGCGGTTCAGTGTGGCGTTGTGGGTTGTTGCCAACATTCCAGATGGATGGCACGCACAGCCGTGTACAGGACTACCTGATGACATAATTCAGAAAACCACAGTCTTTTAAATATGTGCAATACAATATTTTCAATTTCATAATTCACCTGCGAAGTATATGAGTGCCTTGTCTGAAAATTAAGCCAGTTTTAACACCAGAACTAGCCATAACCACAATTTCATCATAAATTTTCCACTTGCCGTAACTGATAGGCAACTTGCATTCGAGATTTTTAGCCGTTATGCCAGACATTCATGTGACATTCCATTTGTGTACGTCCATAGAACAAGGGATATATTAACATTCCAGGCTCCCTTTTGGCATCTCCAGAAACCCTTGGATGTTGCTTATAATCATTCACAGATTTTACTCTTGTATTGCAGGTATGCAATAGGTAATGCTGAGCGCCCTCTGCTTAAAAGCAAAGTTGGTTGGCTGGACATCCTAGCTAATGACACTCACCAGTTCTACTACGCCAACAACACCGGTGGGCCTTCCATAAAGGTAATGACCACTCAAAGCCACAGACAGTTCGCTTTTTAAGGTCACTGAAGCTAAAGCATTCAATACAGAATGGTTTTGTACACAATAGATCACAGAGAGAAGGTGACTTTTGTGCAAAAATGTTCCACTTGTTTTTATGCTGTGATGTTACAGCACAGAAGAGGAGAAGGTAGTCATTCAGAATTGTTGCTCAGGCAGCATGTAGGACTGCGTTACGTTTGCTTTCAGCAACCGAGTTGTGTCCAAAGGTGCATCAGTGAAGTTTCTGTATATGGGACTATTAACTGTATTCTTGTACCTTACAGTCTACTGTAGGGTACAAGGTATTGTGGAAACTTTAGTCTTCTTAAGTAAGTATGGACCGCGTGTGTTAACTAGTGGGCAAAGAAATAAATGATCCAGCAAAGAGACTGGAAGTGTGCTTTTGTACTTGGATAGCTGAAACAACTGTATCAGTGTTATGACAAGTATTCCGTTGCAGTTCATGCTAAAGTTACGTACATCATAAAGTTAACAGCATTTCTGTTTGCACAAAATCATTTCCAGATACTGGAATTGTTTCAGGGTTGTTTTTTTTGGTCATTTATTCTGTTTTCTCATGGAATTTGGAACAGTTTTATTTCTGAAAATATTGAGAAATGTTTCTGTCTTCTAGTCACGGTACATCACCGCCCTGTACTTCACGTTCAGCAGTCTCACGTCTGTCGGGTTTGGCAACGTTGCCCCAAACACGGATGCAGAGAAGATCTTCACCATCTGTGTGATGCTGGTCGGATGTAAGTCTTCTTATTGTTGCATTGCATTTACAAATTAATATATTTTCCAAACAGGAGCTCTAAGCACAATAAGAACACAGGAGTAAGTCACATGTTCCCATTTATAATTTCAGTTGCCGTCACCTCTCGAGACTGAGGTTTGGTGTTTCGTGTGCAACGTGTCCCCACTTAAGAGCCTGATTGGTTATTCAAAAAGCATGTAATCTCAGGGTGGTGATTCAGTGTTATTTTATCAAGAACTGAAGACCTGTTCACCAATAGTGGAGAATTGTCCCTTGATGTCAAAAGTTTATGTGAATGCGTTGTTCCATTGTGATGATGCTAACAAGACAATGTCTATCTTCTCTGGACTCACATTGTCTTTTTATTCTCATGTTCAGTGGTGTCTAAAAGCGTAATAAGAGACCTGAGACACATTGTAGTGAGAAATGTCTAGATTTGTGAGTAGGAAGATGTCATTAATGCTTTAGTCTGGCTTTTGTTGCAGCACTTATGTATGCCAGTATATTTGGAAACGTCTCGGCAATCATCCAGCGGTTGTACTCGGGCACTGCTCGCTACCATACGCAGATGTTGCGTGTGCGTGAGTTCATCCGCTTTCACCAGATCCCAAATCCACTACGACAGCGCCTGGAGGAGTACTTCCAGGTGAGTCAGTCTTCTGCTAACCCCCCAATAATTTCATCTACAACTCCTTTTGTTCATCCTTCAAAATAATGTAATTAATACTGTATAATCATCTAAAATATAAATATATCTCACCTCTCTCCATTAAAATCAAAACATCCTTTGTGAAGTACAAAATGTTGGATTAACCGATTAATCAGTGCGTCAGGAAATTGTTAGGGTTTAGAACTGCATTTGCAAAACTTGACTCTTCTTTCCAAGCTGGTGTAGTAACAGTCAGTGGGGAAAGAATTTGATTCTTTCTGAATTTTCCCACCCTCCTTATCCTAGTTTGTAAATTATCAGTCAGAGTGCATAAACGTCAGGGCACTGGAGTGGCTGGTCCTTACGTTGTAACTTCAGCAGGCTCATAGTTGTTGGCACCTACCTCAAATATAGTATGTACGCTGCGTAAGGGACACTCACATATCAGAGTTTATCTGTTTTTTTATTACTCTAGTTGCATTCTTATGTGTTCATTATTTGTAAGTATATTTTTATTCTACAATCAGCTGCTTGGTAACTATATCAGAAAGACAGTTCATTGCACAGAACAGTGCATTTCTCACACACATCGTGTGGTCTGCGGCCAAACCGTTCTGTGGCAGTGATGACATCAGAACATTAACTTGCTGAACACTTGCAGCATGCCTGGACATACACGAACGGTATTGACATGAATAGCGTTCTGAAGGGATTTCCCGAGTGCCTTCAAGCCGACATCTGTCTGCACCTCAACAGAAACCTGCTCACCAATTGTTCAGCCTTCGAGGGGGCTTCGCCCGGCTGCCTCAGGTATTCAACTAACTGAGAGATGAGTGAATAATATGTGGCATTACACAGTACTGTTGTGTTTCATACAGGTCACTAAGCGTTATTAGGATAGTGAAATCCAGGACACGTAACTCAGTTGGGGGACAAGAAATATGCATGGAATTTTGGTGGGGAAATCTGTAATGCACCCATTTTGAAGACCTAGAAGGAGATGGGATGATAGTATTTTGTATCAAACAAGTTGTGGGGATGGGATTTGGTTAAAACTAGAACAGGACCTTGTACAGTGGTGGTATTTTGTATCGGTGGTATTGAACCCTTGTGTCCTGTTAATTAAGAGTCAGCTTATCCTTGTGGGGCCAGTGTGTCATTAGGAAAATTCTATGACTCTTTAAGTGACTAACCAGCCTATGATATTGATGATGTTCTCAATTGTATCCATTATTGTAATGTTTTGAATTGCAGAGAAAAATCTCCCCCCCCCCCCCAACCCCCC